TAAGTCACTGTATGACTAATAAATCATTGCAGTTATCGAGGAAATACAGATCTAGGTTCATAACTGAAATTATTGTAAAATAAGAAAGAAATTTTATCCAAAAAAGCTAAATGACTAAGTCTATATTGAGAGGCGATCAATCTTCAATTGCTTTAACCAGAGACATATATGTGTATATATGTCTCTGCTTTAACTCTGGAAAATATCAGACCTTTTTTATCTTCTTTTTCTGATGATTTCCAAAGTCTAAGCCATTAGCAATTATCTATGAGCTGTTTTCATCATTAACAAGATCAGTTTTACAGAAAGGTTAATGGTTAAAACAGTTTTGAAGCAGGAAAAATGTTTTTAGAATGTTGTAATGTAAAAAACATTTTGACGTTTGATATGAAATTCTTTTTGCTTTTCTTTAAGTAGCAATTTTGTATAAGTCTTAAGTTCAGTAACAAATTTAGAGTTTTTAGATAATATAGGAGTTGATGTATTTTTGACAGAATGTGGGGTGTAAATATATAGATGTGTAATGCACAAAAAGTTTTTGAAATGAACTGCATGGTTAATGCTTAGTGATGTAACTATTTAACATACATTGATAATGACCTTCACTATATAAAAAAAGGTACTTCTTCAACTTGTGATGATTAAATATACAAAATTATCAATGACATATATGTTTCTTCTAATATTTATTGTCACAAAAATGTCACAAATGGCAGTTAATAATTGTCATAAATAGGTTAATTATGTTTATGAAATATTTTAGGTCAAGATCCAAGTTTTTCTCTAACTAATAAACAAACAAACAGTACACCAAGTTTGGTCTTAGAAAAGTATTGGTGTACATCAGCATCTAGAAATTGAATTGGAGTTTGAATAAAACATTTCTACAAATTTATGGGATGTTTGAGTCTCACTGATACCTAGTTGGACTATTTACATATTTTGGGGTGATTGCACTGTAAGACATACCCATTTAAACTTCATTTTAATTATTAGTCATAATTAAAATAATAAATGCCATTCAATGAAGTATAGTGTTATTTGAGAAGAATGTCTCTTTCTCTTGGTAAAGTAAATAGTTTTGTAAAACTACAATTTACTATTGAACTAAATATAGATAATACAGATTGTATAATGGAGTTTTCTTTGAGAAACACAAGTTCATTGTCGTCATGACGGGACTATTGATTCATAGGATTTTATTTAATTTTTGTTCTGAATCAGAGAGAACCTCTCCCAATATGAAATATATGTCCTTCATCGCTCAATTAAACAAGACAAATTTATATACCTGTCTTGCTCAGGTAATTGTATTTTTGATCAATTTTCCACCGATTTAAAAAGGAATTTGTTTTCACAATGTCTTACAGGATAATCTTATTTACTGACCTGCACTGCCTTACTTTGTGTGGTATTCAGCCAGATTAATCAGTTAATCACAGTCAACCACCCCATTATTCTCTGTTAGCCCATGAAAAGTCATTTTCATACAGTAGTTGTAAGTTTGTGACTTGGTGAATGGTTGATTGTCAATTTGTTGTGTAATTTATTTTACCAATTCAATTAAAACTATCTTTAGAGGAGTGTGGTTTATATAAACAATAATAGAGAGAATCTTGTACAAATTTTTATTGACTTGGCAGTATTATGTGGGAGTGAATTAAATTGTGATCAAACAGGTGTATCAGAAAACAGTAAGTTAATTTTCATTTATTTAGGATGCTGTGAGTACTCAGTGAAACCATTTACTTTTAAGTGTATGTCAAAATTAAAATTATTTTCAAAGTTTCAAATATTTTATTTCAAATATTAAATAACACATATACATTAATATATATAAACAATTCTAAATTGAAAACATTTATATATATATATTATTATTATAAAATTATGTTTCTGGTAAAATTCCAAGTTGTTTATAAATAACTGATAATTTCAAACTTTTGTGACAGTCTGTGAATTCTTTCAAATAAACCATTGATTTTATGTGTAAAATAGATGTTACAATATTCCAGATATGTCATTGTATTATGTCATTTTTTTTTGGTTACAAAAACATTTTTGTTAAATAGATTTGTGAAAGAGTAAATCCTGGTTATCAGCTTATGGATAGAGAATTTGAACAACCAAAATATGTAGGTCAAGCGATTATAGTTTTCAGCTTAAAGAGTCATAAAGGGACTTATATTTGTTTACTCTGTAGGTCTGTCCATATAACATTATTACAGGGATAGTGGTCAAAGAATTTATGATATCCTATATACAGAAATTGTTTGCTGAGGACTTTGGGCGCCTGGTGGTTGAAGTCTGAAGCTTTTGATATACAGAATTTTCTACAAAACCTTTGACGTAGGCATAAGTTTAGATATGGATAAGATTTTCTCATCAAAAATTGACAATTTTTAAAGGTTTTATGAATACTCCAAACTGACAAAATAATAAGTTTATAAGTGGGAAGCTTGTTTATTTGGCACAGTGTGGTAAGGTTATAAATTACCTCTTTTATCAAGCTTATTGTCCCTACATTAAACTTTTGGGGGTGACACACTAAACCGTTCCAAAATAGATCTTAAAAAGTAGGAACTTAGCTAAAATGTGTTAATTTGTTTTGAAACAAGCCAAGAAGTGTATATCAAAATAGAGGCTTTTAGAACTGCATTGACTGTGAAACAAATTTTCACTGTCATATTGAGACAGCATTGGGCAGCTGCAATAAGGTTTTTTTCTTGTATTTGATAGGAATCTTGAGCAATTTGCTCTTGTTTTCAATATGATTCTTTGAAGAAATCAGCCACTAAATATTAGTGATGATTATATACAATTGTTCCTATCTGTATAATACAGATATTAATGAACCATTGTATTATTATGCTGTCAGTATTTGATGAGATATTAATCTGTCGGCACTCATGTCCAATGGAAAACAAATTCTCAACATTTTTAGGGATAATTGCACTATTAAATTGAAGTAGGTCACATGACATGGTAGTTGATATTGTGATGTTCAAGCTTTGAATTAACTTTTCTTACAAAGGTATGTTGGTATATTCTCTTTTTCACTCTCTGCACTATGTATATACCTAAAGGTTGAAATATACCATAGCAGTACTTGCATATTCTGCACGTATTTCTCATCTATTGAACTGTGAAAAATGTCATATATATTATCACATGCAGGAATTTGAGGTTGGGTTTTTAATTTATTTAAAAGTATGTACATGTACTTTGGTGTTAATAAAAACCAACTCTCACACAGTGGGCTATTATAGCAAGCTCTGAGTGGTTATTAATTAGATGAAATAATTAGGGAAAAAGATCTTGTTCATGGCAGTTCAATATCATGATGAAAGAAAATGTTATTAGAATATCCCATTAAAGCCTGCCTGTTTTCTGCAAATAATTATCTTAAAACCAATCTAGTTAAATGGTATAAGTATTTTTACCTACTTGTGCAATGTTTTTATACTATCAAAGTCATCTCTTTTATACCATCATTATAAACATGCTGCAGGCAAATTTAAATCAAGATGGCAGTGACAAATCACTGCTTTAGAAAACACTATCCCATTTCCTTTTCTTATGTTGTAATATCTGTGGTCTTTGAATTTTACAAAGAAAACTTTTATATATTGAAGAATTTTTATTTTATCAAATGCAATGTATTATATGCAGATGACTTGATAATTGCAAATCACACGAGTTTGATGACATTATTCAGACATACAATTTTCTGCTCTGTTAATGTAAGGACATTATTACTGGGAACACTTGATATAACAATTGAGATAATAGAGTGTTTAACTTACTGGAGAGGGCCACTGAAGCCTAGAGAAAATCATTATGGGGGATAATGGGAGTTACAGGCAGCATTCTGTCTCTGTATTAATTGAAATAAAACGAAACTTGTATAATAAGTCACAAAAGTAGGCATCAGGAATGCCCCCATTAAAGTGGTAAGCCAAAATGCTTGATATTCGCAAGCATAATCTATGCTCAGGGTTTGATGGATTTAACAATAGTCTAAGATTATGATATAGGATAGATTCTTGTCAGTGCTGTTTACATTAAGCTGGACTATCATCACTTTTAATTACCTGAAGTTGAAAAATTTACTCTTTGGTGACTGCACAAGAAAACCTATCTGAAATCCAATTAGAAACTGGCAATGCTTCATTCTCCTTTCATGAGCCCCTTCAGGCAAATAAGATAAATTAAGAATGTGAACTGTGATATTCTCCATTTAAGGATTACATATTTCTTGTCTTGAAGTTGAATGGGAGTAGCTCTGGTTTGATAAATCTAAAGGGTGTAAGAAATGGCCAACCAACTCATTTTTTTTTTACATTCACAGTAAGGCAAAGTGCATGATTGTTTGAATGTGCTACACAGAACTGTATTTGAAAATTCTCAATTGATAAAATGCAGTATATGGCTATTTTTACAATTTTTAATGTATGGATCTTAATTTTAAGGATTTTCTTTTTCAGAAAAGTAAAAATAGTGAAATACTAATCTGAGAAAAAGTGCAAACACTTGACTTTAGACATAATGTTTTTCATGCTACATATCAGTAATCTCTTTATTCTCCTTGAAGTTTATTCTTGATATTAGGACATACCTTTGACAAACATTCACCTTTATAATACATTTATTTTTATAATAGTTGAGGTATGTTTTTATTCATTATGAAAGAGCTACTAATTTTTTTACTGCCTCTCAGAGTAGCCTTGACGAGTAGTGCCAACCTATAGGTTTTCTTGCATCACCTGAACATTATAAAGACCATTGCCCGGAAAGAATCTTGAAGGATCTATGGTCCACATTTTTTTTCAGGGCATATTTTCTCTAAAAAGGAACTGGTACAAAACAAAAACTCTAGGAGTACCCTAAATTGGTAATCAGGATTTTAAATAACTCATATGTTAAGCTTAAAAAATGTTGATGTTTAAAGAAATGATGATTCTGTATAATTGTTTTCATTCAAATGTATTATTTTTCAGACCTACACACCTCGCAGCATGCCTGCGGCAAGTCCAAACACCACCAGTAGTCAGTCTAGTTCACAGAGCGGTAGCATGAATGACCTCAGCAAAACAAATTTGTATATACGTGGACTGAATCCTAATACTACTGATAAAGATTTAATTAATTTATGTCAGCCGTAAGTATTTCTTTAAAACATGAAAAATATTGTCATACATTTCTTCCCACAATGTGGAACTTTCAAGAAAATTGTGAAATACATTTGAATTTTAACTGTATGTCTTGAGTTACCTACATTTATTATGATAAATTTAATTCCTAAAAGATATCTTGAAACAGGTTTCTTGGTAGTAGGTACATGTATACAGAAGATGTTAGCTTTGTACACTGGTAGAAAAATAAGACCTTGATTCTCTCACATAAAAAATATACATACAGTAAACACATTAACAAGACATTACAGATGTGCTTGCTACCTGAAATGTAAAAAAAAATATAACCAAGACACTTCTTGTTCACTTCAAACTTTTTATATTGTTTTTATACGTTCATTAAAAGTGAGCATTACCTAGAGAAACCACTTACAATGTACACAAATCCTGTAAACACTTGGGAATACAGTTTCCATGCAATAAACAATTGTAAGACAAGTACTACATACATATAATATTATGCATAATCTACAGTCTATACAGTTCTAGTATTGTTCTTTTGTTGTAGATCATAATAAGATGAACTTGTCACTTTCAATGCTTTTAACAAAACCAAATCCTCAATTGTTGATTCTTGGTGTTAATTGCCATGAGTCAGTCTTCTGTCATAATCTTCCTGAAATCATTAAGAGAAGACTGCCATATCTTAATGTGACCAATGTTTTCCATTATTACAAAACAATTCATCACTTTAGCCTCAGCTGCTATAGGAAAATCCATTTGTACACATATGCCACGGAAGGTGTCCACTCTGTAACCACACTTAGTGTGCATCTTTTAATATCCATTTAGGATTTGGAAAGTGGAAGTGTATAAGACATTGACTTTAACACTTACTGTCACTAGCAGGAGATAGCTTCATTTTAAGTCTTCTTACTTGTCATATTATATAGATAGAAGTATTCTGTTGTACAGGAAGTTCATCAAGTATTTTCTTTCTTATTTAAAAGAGACAATAGGTCCTGTCTGTGATTACTCTGTTTTCATTACCAAGCTTTATTACATATTTTTTTTCCAATTTAGCAGAAAAATTAATGAAACTGATATAGCAACACAAGATAATATAAGCCTTTCATTTTTTAAGTTTTTGGTTGATGATTACATTTTGTGGCATTGGATGGCCTCTAGTTTTTCAGGTTAAACTGATGGGTCAATTGAAAGCATGCTTTGTTTTTGAGACACAAATGGTTATTTTTTGGCTGAATTGCTTGAAATGATCTCTTTAATGTGTTAAGTTTTGACTCATACAAGGATGTTCTGCTCACAATATTAAGTTTTGGAACTACTTTTATGCCCATATTCAATACATGTTTTTTAACACAATATTCATTTATTTTTAGAAGAGGGGGAACCATTTTAATTTATTTTGCCTTTTTTTGAGATATTGTGTTTAACAGAAAAATCCAAGTTCTTGACATAAACTGTAATTTTTGTTCTCAATAGAATATATTCATAATTTGGATTCGGTGGAGGTAACTCTTCAGAAGGATAATACCAGAATTTTGTTTAAGTAGGATTTTTACCCTCACTGTTATAATTTGATTTCAGTAAGATTTTTTTTTAAATCTGCAGATGGCCAAGTAATAATTCTTTTAGAATTTTTACACCTCATGAAACCAGATTTACTTTGAGATAAACAGATAGCACAGTAGCCAGCATCATTCATATTTCTCAATAAATGTGTGATTTTATCATCTACATAATTGAAACTAATGTCTGTATAGGAAGTTGTCATTTTTCACAAGGGATCTAACATCCTGTATTTTCTTGTTAAAGTTCTCTTCATCTCATATTCATATGTATTAATGGTTCAATTAATGAGGCCTAATGATAGGGGCAGATTTATTAGTTTATGTAGGGATCATTAGGGGGATTAATACCTTTTTCAAAACATGTAGACTATTGGCAGTTCAAAATGTAATATAGTGAAAATTGTAAAGACACTCAGAGGGGTGTATTAATTTTTAATGAGTTATGGAAAGCTTAATTTCACTTCTCTACACTGCTCACTAATACCTTTGAAGTTTTGAAGATTATATATCAGATATCAAAGTTGAAAGACTCTTGGAGACCCAAACATCGCAAAGTAAACAAGAGGTTAGCTTTTGTGTTGGTTTGCAAGTAGGTTAATAATTGGCATCAAAACTTTTACCACTAGGTACATTTAGGTCATTGGTTCATTATACTGATACTTGCTGGTTCATTTTTGTGTCATTCATACCAGTCTCAATCATATTCAACTATTTTATTTTTTCTAGGTTATTCAGGTTAAATTCATTCTATGTTATTTTTGTTATTCCTCTGATAGAGTTAATAGGTTGAGAGTTGAGCACTCAGAGTTTTACTGCATGTTCATGTGTCTGTCCCAAGTGAGGAACCTGATTAGTGGCTGTCTTCAGTCATATCTTGATGTTTTTTTATTTTAGAAAATGTTTTGATGAGATGCAACATTTATTCACAACTTTTAAAGACTATTGACGATTTAGAACTTTGTATATTATAAAGATACTTGTCTCTTGTTTTGTGTGTGTTTGTGAAGATGTTAATGTTTAAACCTTTATTGGTGTCTTGATTTTCTATGTCGATGTGTTGCTGTTACGTTGACATCTACCCCACATTTTCTTTTATATATGTATAAAATAAAATACGATAAAACAGTTGGTTTTCACCACTTTTGAAGGTAAACATGAGACATGGAAATTGAATTTTAAAAGAGTATGAAAGCTTTTGTACCTGAAGATTGTTTTAATGAAGTGCAATATTTGACATAAAATAAACTAATCTTCAATTTACAGTGTCTATCTTTGCAGTATTTTGTTAGTTGACAAAAGATCAAAGACTTTCACTTTCCTGTTTTTTAAAAGCACAGCGATTGATTTTTGTTCAATTAGATGGAAATTTACATATCTGTTTACAATAAGTAATCACACAATTTTTCCACATCCAAGCAACAGATTTGTTGACATAAGAAGGGGGTATTTAATAAAGTTTTACTCTGTCGTGTTTATTAAAAAGCTTATAAGGAGCTGGTTTTATTAGAAAATCAAATATTTGTAGTAAAATTGGAATATATCTGGTTGGGTTCAAGTATTTGACAGATTTTAGTTATCTTGTTAACAACTTTCTTGTTATGACAGGCTACCAAATTCCTAAATGAAGAACTTACATAGTATGTTACCCATTCAGAAATGGTTTATAATCTCAGTTTCAAAGTTGTGAGGTAACTGTCTATATTCCTACCAGTACCTACCTATCTTTTTCCCTTAACATTTCTTGTACAAATGTCAAAGTAACTACTGCTGACAGTGACTATTAAGATTATTAGAAATCATGTCTGTCTCCACAATATGACATTAAATCATTTACATTACTGTCCAGTGCTAGAATAATTTCACCAATTCTGTCAGCAATCTTTTTACAACATTTGCTATTTGGTAAAATCAATGTTGATATTGTTAGGAATTGGTTACTAATACAAGTGCATTTGTCTGCACAGATAAATTTCATAAATGACATCAATAGTTTGTCTAGACTTCCAAATAACTGTAACTTCTTTCATGGTGAGCAATGTAACTTAGTATTTTAAAAGTCAATAATTCTACAAGTTGCCTAATATTAGGGAGGAAAATATGTGTACAAGATGACTGAATGTGTTCTGACACATCATTTGTTTGTTTGTTTTGTTTTTTTATTCTGTATTGGTAGATATTCTGTCACCAATGACCAACATTCATATTACAAACTACTGATTTAAACATGTGCAACCAGATGTGAAACACAGTTTTCAAGATGACATGTGGTGACTTGACCAAATCAACATTTCTTCTGACTGTCAGTTTGAAATTCAAAACCACAGAGAACATCTAAATCATTGATTTTTGGCATTAATCATGAAAATCCTCAAGTGGTTAGGTTCCAATGTTTATTAACTGCAAAATCTGATTTATCTGAAGACTTGTGGTATTATTTAGAAAGGTGGAAAAAATTATTACACCATGCCAATTGTTTAACCATCAAATAATATAAACTTGCACACCAACTGCCAGTGATATTTATTTAATAACAAACAAATTTGCAAAAATCAGGGGTCTTAATGATTATACAAGATACAGCTTTCCTTCCTGGAAGATCCTAACCCATTCTTGGTTGCATGGTAGCATACTTTCTTCCAGCTCAGGTCATGGGTTGATCTTATGAAAAAAATTGTATTTGCTGTCTCACACAAAAATTTGATTGCCATTACTGGTGATATGTAACCCTTATGACTAAGAGTCTACTGCCCTTTATAACTTCCATAAGAAACATCAGTTTCTGTGTTGAAAACCTGTTTTAATTGTTAACTATCTAAATGAATTACAACATTGAAATTCCTTAGAAACTATGTGATCTTTATCACTTAATATGATATTACTTACTGAAGAAAGGTGGCTTTGTTAGAAGTCAGTGCATAGTGAAAGAAATATTACAGTTTTGTTTCCAATTAAAACTTAGACTGACAGCAAATATTGACTTTTTCTTAAAGCATAATATTCATGATCTTGCAAAAGAGATTAAAAAATATTTGATTTAGAATTTTACCAGTTATGCTCAATTTCAAAAATTAACTAACAAGATAATCTACCAATTTACATACACGAAATTAAATGAAAACAAGATTATTTCAAATCTTGTGTAATAAAGGTGTAATAGTGTTTGTTTTTCTTTGATAGGTATCATAAAGGCTATGATAACTTTAGACATGTAGGAACAATGGCTATCTTGTTAAAGTCTTTAAATGAACTTGATGCACCCAAGGCCGGCAAGGGCACCAATGTTTAACTGATTGAAAAATGTTGTCCTTCATGACTGGAAAAAAAGACTTTTTGAAAAATTGTAAAAAACAGGATTTTAAAATGAAATGGGGAAATTTTGATAAATTACTAGAAATATCTTGTTTTAGTAGACTTTTTTGATAAATGGATGATGATAAACTGTTACCATTTGATCTATTGTATTTGGATAATTTTTAAAGATTGAACAAAGGAATTTTAAGATATTTTCATGAGAGAATTACTCTGTTAATTATAATGCCGTCATTAATTATTTTGATTAATTACTAATTGAAATGTACTAACATCCATAATAAAAAGTGATACAATGAAAACTTTTATGAGTTGGAGATGACAGGTGACACCTTCCATTTGTCTTACTGGTATTCCCCATTTTAAGGTTTTCTGTGAGGGATAGTTTAGAAGCACACTATATGATTACAGTTTTTGATCATTACATTTCTTGCTGTATAACTATTATTTCTAAAAGCTGTTGCAACAGTCTTCAGTTAAACAAAGTTATCTTCTACCATTCTAGTATCTGTAGAAACCAAAGGTACCAAAAAGATTTTTTTAAATATATTAGAAGTATATTTTACTTATATTTAGTACTATTTTGAAGTTTTTACGACAAGTCTTTAAAAAAAAAAGGATTCTTATTGATATTCAAAGTCCACTAAATGTTATTTTATCCTTTCTTCGGGCCATTATAAAATTAAAACTATAAAATATTACCATGGCCTGCTTTTATGACCAAGAATGGAAATGAAAGTTTGAGATATTCCAGCAGTTATAGGTTTTAATTCCATCTGAAATCTGATTTGAGATTACCTGCCTCATAAATAGGTCATAAAGATATTGATTTTACATTTCATTTCTGTTGTAAATTTTATGATTCTGCACAATTATTGCATGTGTAAAATGCATTTCTTATGGAATAATCTGACTGCAGCCTTTTTCTTTCAGGCATTAATTACTTTATGAAAGGGAATATAATCAACGTAAAAGCATTTTGTGACGAAAATCACGTTAATTACAATAATTATTGATGGCGTGATTAGCGATTTCATTTGGTAATTACAGGATTTTACTTTCTTAACAGATGATGTATGGATTTTTGAGTTAATTCATTTTCTGATGGTCTGAAAACTTGTTATATGCTGATTAATTTTTCTTGGATATGTTTAGCAATTACATTTGTTATAAATTTAGTAGATTATTAATAAATTCCCCCAAATTACTGTCCTTTAACCTCACTTCATTTAAACACTTTTCTTCTAGAACCTGTCTTAATTTATTTAAATTATTCTTTAAGTGCCTGTCCCAAGTCAGGATCCTGTAGTTCAGTGGGTTTCATTGGTTCATGTCTGTCATATTTGTTTTTCGTAAATCGTTTTGTTATAAATTAGTCTGTTAGTTTTTCTAGTTTGAATATTTTCACATTGTTCAAGTCTGCTGGATGGGCCTTTCATAGCTGACAATAAGGTATGGGTTTTTCTCATTGTTACTATTAGTGATCTGGTTAAAGCTTGCTATTGTAGTTGTTGGATTGCATTCTCATGGACTATTTCCTGTTTACCCTTCATCTCTTTTATCAAAATTTAGATAGGCTAAATTTACTGGTGAGTAACAAGAAATGATTCATTCATTCTTACTTGCAACAATTTATTAAAGTTTTTTTTCTCTTTTGCAGATATGGCAAAATCATTTCAACGAAGGCCATATTAGATGAAAATACAAAAAAATGCAAAGGTGAGACAATATATCAGTATAATATACAGTATTTATTTTCATTGCAGATATGGCCACATTGTATCCACTAAGGCAATAATAGACCTAAGTACAAGTAAATGCAAAGGTGAGATTTCTTGTCCAAGTCCCTCTGTGGTAGTGTAAATTCTTGTTTTGTGTGTCAAGTTCATTGTTTGTTACTTTCAAAAGGTTTGCAAAAATTCCTAAGACAGATGTTTGCTCTAATATAAGTCATGAGGATATTGAATATATACTTTAAAAAAATTGCTGTCCCTTAGTGCATGCAGCAAATGTTTATTATCTTACGCCCTTAATCCATGGAAGATGAACATCACAATACTCTCCTTTCTCATGTTAAGGTCATATTTTTTATTTTGGTTTTGTAAAGATCAATCATTTATTAATTACAGGGTATGGTTTTGTTGATTTTGAATCTCATCAGGCAGCCGAGGTAGCTGTACAGGCATTACAAGCCCAGGGTATTCAAGCACAAATGGCCAAGGTGAGTGTCAATGATCTGACCGCAGTTAAAAAAAGGTCATATTTTATATCACAATATCGATTTGAACATAAGTTAATAAAAGTTTGACCTTTCTAGTGGTCAAGCTCTGACAATCTTATGATTAAACTGTCCTTTACAATCAGTGGATATAAAATAAGCAGTTCTTTCCCATTTATCCAGGTCACTATAAAACAACATCCAAACATAACAATAACAACTAATGTTGGTGCGTCTGAATTTCTTTTCTATGTATACCTTCATCAGTAACGCTCAAACCATAATATTAGAAAGCCAAGGATGTATAAGTACTTTAATATGTAAGGAGTTGTATGACCAAAAGTCATCTAAAAATAGTAACCAAAATCTAGGTCAACTGAGAGAGTTTCTTATTTCTTAAAAATTGAACACAGAAGACCAAATACAAAACATTAGCTTTCTTTATTTCCAACAAGATAACAAAAATCTCATTAAATTGGGGATGTTTTATTGTTGTAGCTGTTTTAGTTATTGTACTTGGTCATGAAATGGATTTCTCGATCATTCAATAAAAATGCTTTGAGCAACAGATCAATTACAGTATTCATCAAATTCAATTTGTTCCCTGCTTTATTTAGGACATCAGGACACGTTGTCACTGGTACATCACAAATTTCACAGATCAATTCAAACTGCATTTTCTAGTTGTCAATACATTGAAAAAGTTTTTCCGATTGAATGAGAATTAAATAACAACATGTTGTTATACAATGCTGCAGATTACAGTTTGCAGGAGACTGTTATAGACAAGAAAATATTGAATCATGAAGTCAATTGGTTTTGCTTAGGAAAATCCATTTACTTGGAAGGGGATTTTTGTTTGTGGTTAAGGATCAGTGTATATTTGATTTGTAATAATGTTAAGATGGTTAGGTTCTGTCAAAGGCTCATTATATTACTGTAAGTTAAAAGCTCTTGTTACAATTTACATATTTACTTTTGAGAATCAACTGCATTGAATCTCTTTTTAGAAAGTTTCAAATGCAAAAATGATACACAACACATCTTCCTCACTGTAGTACATGTAGGAATGATTTGGACTGTTCGATCATAAAGCACTAGACTAAGAAGTAGTCTGATCTTCTGTCCCCTCATCTTTTTAATTAAGTCATCTTTTTTCTAGATTTTAATAGTTATCAGAAATTCACATAAGCTAAGTCTGATAACCAGCCAAGTTTGCTGGATGTAAAAAAATAGCTTTTTAGAGAGACTCCCCAGACAATACTCAGCCATATTTCTACAATAACATACAATGTCCAAACAATTATATGCTTGGAAACAGATCAATATTTGAATGACAATCTCTAAATTATTTCCTATCTACTCTGTCTAAAAGGATGAAAGCAAAAATATGTTTTCTTAGAATTAAATAACAGATTGTGTCGTGGTCATAATATTGGTCATTTGTCATGACAATTGATATTCTTTTACATAAAGAAAAGAAAATAATAAGATATTAATTCAATAGAACTCATATTTAGTGAATATAATTGGGTAATCTGATATGAGTTCTAAATGGCTTTTAACAAGCTTGATAATGTAAAGGGATGTCTATTTTTCTATTCATGTGTAGCTGTTTCTCTGGACTGTTCTGTTAATTTGTGTATGTTCATAGATATATCAAATATTTATATATATTAAAGTCATTTTTGATAACACTTACATTGCATACAGAGTATATGCTCCACAAAATCACACAAAACACACACCACAAAAAAACCCAGTATTTATTATATGCTAATCATATTGGTGGTCAGTGGAATGTAATAAGCTCAATTCCTGTAAAAAGAGTAAGACAGTTTTGTGTTTTAAATTGTTAGATAAGATATAGCCTTGTTGAAGAAATGAGATTACCAATTCTCAGTCACTTACATACAATGATTCATACATTGGACTTTATACAGTGCATCTACATGCTAACCATTTTTTCTCAATCAAAAGATTTGTTTATAGCTCCATGCATTAGTTAAAATTATTGACCACCTCCCCCTTTTTCCCTCGTTATCTAAAAGAAAACCATAAATGTGTAAGTATAATGGAAAATCTTTTAACTTAATATGAAGAATGGTTCAGTAATGCCATTGTTTGGAAATTCAAATGATTTTTTCACATGCTTTTCAAATTGTTTTATGTAGGACAAAACAAGTAGGTAATATTTCATATGTGCCCCTTAGGTCATTGATAAATTGTAATTTCTGTTGGTATTTTACTTTCTTTTTTATTTGTATGACACATTAGATCTTCTTTACAAAACAACCTTTAAGTATCATATTTCTCCCCATTTCTATCCTACTGTTACAAGCAAAGTAGTGTTTCTTTTCACATAAAGAATTATTCATTTAATCCCCTTTTTAAGAAACTCTCTCAGCATATCCACATGTTAAAGGATTTGCTGAGGTGAAAAAAGTTTACAATTTTATGAATTTGTTATCTTTTATGAAGAGAATTTATACAGATGTTTTACACTAAAGTGCATCTGTTCAAGGTAGAATTGTTACAGATACAACAATATAAAAAAACAGTCATGGAAAGATCTGAGGGTCTATAAATTAATAAGAGGGTTTTAATGAAGAAAAGACAATTCAGACATATAAATAGCCCAGCATAGATTAGCTAAATCGCTTAGATGGCAGGTCTTTAACTTCCTTTATAAGAACAACTAAATTTTTCTTAATTTTTAGTTTGCATATTTACTATGAAAATAGTATGAATTCAGTTCTGTAAAAAGAAAAATTTATCGCAACACAGCTAAAAAGAGAACAGATATAGTTTTGCAGATACTGAAAAAAATGTTTTGTATCCTATTATGGGTATTTTGAGGTTAGATGTGGATAATACAAGTGTACTTAAATCCAGCTGCCATTGAATTAGTCATTAAAATTTCTAACAAGAGTGGTCCAACAGAAGAAATTTTAAAATTGCAACATTCATTTTTATAAAAACACATTTCTTTTAACTTCAGTTCAAATGTTTGTGCTTTTCCACCAAAAATAGAAAATTTATCAACATATGGCAGTTTTCAAAATATTGAATTTTAAAATGATTATATTGTACCAGACGTGTCACTTGAGATGAGGCGGTATTCTTGTCTATCTATACACATGAATACCCACATACCTTTAAGGGTAATGAAAGTATTTTGTTTAAATTGATGATACAGTTGGGGTGTTAAGCATGAAAAATTTGATGAGATAAAGTGTCAAGTGGATTTTTTTTTTACTTTAGTTAATGTGTATTAAGAAATACTTGTTTTGTGGTTAGTATTACCAATTTTTATCATGGATATTTTAGGTTTCAGAGCAGCTCATGTTTTTGTGAATCATATGTTAATTGACAGAATCCAGTTTTTAGTTAATTTATTAGTGTGTCAAAAGTGGCATTTGAGAAATATGAGAACACAACAGAAATTTATTTTTGCAATACCTAGTTATGAAAAAATAGATACTAATTAACCATAGGCTTTTATTTTGAGAATATCAGTTTAGCCCCCAGCAGACAGGAAGCTGGTTTCCTGTTCAGATAAAGATGACTGGTTAGTGTATTAATCACTGACCTTGAGTTATATATTGCCCCTTGAATGTTGATTAAAAATGTTTACTGTACAAAAGTTAAATAAGGCGCAGCACTAAAACAAGAAATATAACAATGAAAATATGGATATAATTTGAAGAAAAAAAATCCATATGCATGCTAAAATTTACTTGTCCCTGTTTCCTGCAGGTTTTCATGCTCCAATGTAGGTTTTATTTACCTGTTATGTCAGTTTGATTACAACAGTTGTGAAATCAGTTTATGGTTGTTGACCCACTGTAAATGGAATTTTGCCAGAAAAAATCAATTATACTTGTCATAAAAAGTAAAATAGTTGAATTATTATCTTCCATTTAAATTATATATGATATTTTAATCATTATTTATATGGCACGCTGGTGCATTTGATTAATATGGGTCTTGTTTTTATTTCAAAACTTTTTCAATAAAAAATCTTATGGGATCACTGATCACCGATGGGCATCATGTTATTACTTGTCATATTAGGGTTTCTCTAGTTTAAATATCTTCATTGATACCCATTTTGATGGTCTGATTCTTGCTTTTTGAAATTGAACATGCCTGCCATATTTTTTTGGGGGAAAACGTTTTGTTTAACATTAGAATAGGCTTTTTAAAAGTCATGCTTGAGTTTTGAGAGGTTCATTAAACCATGTTTTCATTATGAGATCTTATTCAAGTAAAATTTAATTATTGTTTACCTTTGAGCTGTACCCGTTTTTCAGATTATATTTATTAAGAGTACATGTAATTTAATGAATGTTTGGTCTGTAAATAAGTCAATATTTTTTGCACCAAAATCACCCACTGGTTTGATATTATTTAATTGTATTTTGAAAGTAAATATCAAGTGCTGGTAGTTTATTGAAAAAAATCACATCTAATACAATAACATGACAATTACACCCCTAGTAATTCAAACTGTCGCACAAATTTATTGACACCTTAAAAGGGTATGTGGCATCAGGGAAAATTGATTTATAATTGTATGGCTTGCATGTTTAAGCTCATTCCTGTTCAGTATGATTGGAATAAAATGTGACAAGAAATAAATTGTATTTGTCATTGGAAATGAGAGGTAAAATAGTTTGTATGGAGTCCAGTGTGTTTGGTTATGTAAATTGTAAATGGCTGATGCTTGATTTATCATCTAAATATGCCTTCTTTACCATTTTTTTTAGACATAATGGAACATAATTAAAGGTCAATTTTCAGAATATTGATTAGATGACAAAATACAATGGCATTTTATTGGTAAATTAGACAAGTCAAAATTTTGATGTGTGCAGGTTTCAATTTGCAAGAAAATCCATAACCCCAAATAGAGGTTAATAGAATTTTTGAATTGGTTTATTTGTTATTTGTTATATTAAACTGAATAAAAAATGTAGTGTATGTCTTTAACTTCTTATATCGAAATAGATATGGTGTTAAACTTACTTAACAAAGATTTCCAAATTCAATTCATAAAGTTGTGTTGTATATATGACAATGGGATAAGTGTAATTTACATTGTGAAGATACATTTTCAGACTGTAGTTTCTAGGGAAGCTGCAATCTCCTACGTCCATGAGAAGCTGCAATGTTCTTTCGTCCTTGGGTAGTTGTAATGTTCTTTCATCCTTGGAAAGCTGCTAAGTTCTTTCATCCTTGGGTAGTTGTAATGTTCTTTTGTCCTTGGGAAGCTGCAATGTTTTTTTTGTTTTTTTTGTCCTTGGGTAGCTGCAATGTTCTTTTTTATCCTTGGGTAGCTGCAATGTTCTTTCACCTTTTTGTAGCTGCAATGTTCATTCATCATTAGGTAAGCTGTAATGTTCTTTCGTCCTTGGGTTGCTTTCATAATCTGTAATTGATATTTTTAGCTGGAATGAAGAAGGATAACAGTAATGTTACTCTGTTCTCTTATACAGTTTAATTTCAGAAAAACAAACAATGATTTAAAAAAAAAAAACAATCTGACAGTTTCTTCATTATTTTTCAGCAACAAGAACAAGATCCTACCAACTTATACATTGCCAATTTGCCAATACAATATACAGAAACACATTTAGAAAATATGTTTAAGGAATATGGTACTGTTATATCTACAAGAATTTTAAGAAACCCTGATGGTGTCAGTAAAGGAGTGGGTTTTGCAAGAATGGAATCGAAAGAAAAATGTGAACAAATTATAACTGTTTTTAATGGAAAACTTGTTCCAGGTATGTGCCTTTTCTACATAGTACATACCTACATTATTATCTTTTTTCATTAACCTTATATTCACCTGCATTGAAGAAAAAATTAATAAAGATTTTTAAAGTAATTAATCTGTAGTATTCTATAATTATGATATTAGATGTTATCGTCCGTGGTGACCCCCAAACTTTCTTTCTTGCATGATTTTATCTTTTAATTACAAAGTTCAAATATCGTAAATTTTAAATTTTTTCCATAGAATATCAGGTTGGTGTCAGATATCACCACCTGACTTGAGAGATTGAAAATAGTGATATAGTGGGCAATAATACCGAAGTTGATATTGTCCTATATATCACCCTTTTATGTTAATGATTGGCGTTAAAGACCTATAACTTGAGAGCTTTGATCACAGATATGGGCATTTAAGGACACTAAGGGAAAGGCTTCATTCATTTCTAAATAGATGTTCACAGCAGATGTAAGGAATAGTATACATGTAGTTTGTGTTCTAACATTTTAATGAAGAGATTTTCTATAAAGAGTAGAAACCCTCTAACTTTTGTATTTGGTTGTATGTATTTTGATTTCAATATGAATTATGTATTAAAAAAAAAAAAAAGAGTGCTGAAATTTCTGTAAAATCTGCTCTGTACATTTGCAGCGATCTTTTTTTTTCTCACTCTAATGCAGTATTGCATTTGTGTAAATGTTTTCTTGAATAGGTAAATGGGCTAATTTTAGATTAAAAAATATTGTACCTGCATAAATCTTTTTTGGGAAAAACACCATTAATAGCAGTGTTGTGAGAAATTCGGTGAAGCTTTAACTTAGTTTGCATAACAAAAGTGAAGTAACGAGCCCACGTTGACAAACAATTCATCCTGAAACGTGGTATGTCAAACTAAATACCTTGGCATTTAAAAATTTGTATACATTACTTAAAGCTTATACGGTTCACAGCTGCCTACACTGTGTGACATAAAAAAAATCTTGTTTAACAGTGCAAAGGAAAATCTGTAACAAAAACTGTCATTTTTCTTGTTTTAATGCCACTATTTTAATTAGAAAATACACATATGTGACAATACTAACAAAAACTGCACACACACATTAATTATTTTGTATTTTGAAAATGCAACACCCAAAATTCCTTGAAATTAATCCACATAAGAACTTTCAATAGGAAATATTTCAGGAGTAGATATCAACCCATTTAAATGTAAATTTTGAAGAGAGAAGTATTTATGATCTAGATTATGTTAGCATGATATATCAAGTTGTAACTTGATGTGAAGTATTATTCTTACATCATTTGTCAAATAAAAAATGTTACCATAGCAACTAGTCATATATTTAAAATCTCAAGAATAATAGCTGAATAAGACTAAAATGAAGTGAAAAATCTGTTTGGAATTCATTTTTGATAGAGAGCAAATCTGACATGTTGTTAACACTTCTTTATTTAAATATACTCAGGCAAAAAGAAGAAGAAAAAGTTTGACTATCAGTCAGCAAATTTGACGCTGAAACTGTGATATTTAAATTTTGCATTAACTGAAATGATAGTGATTGGGAATTCATATTAGATTTAAAAAAAAAAGAAAAAAGCAGACCCAACCACAACTAACAACCTGATAAACTCAGACCATCATAATTGAATCTTTTTCAATTTGTCAACGTTAGTCCACTTTATGAATTGTTTAAGGTCATGTTTTATCTCTTTTCATTTGAAGGCAGTACAGAACCTTTAATAGTGAAACTTGCTGATGGTGGAAATAAGAAAAAGACACCACAAGCTCTCACAATTCCTACAAAAATTTGGGCTGATGCAACTAGAGATGTAAGTCACTTATTATGTAATCCTGCCAAGGAGAGATAACTCCAGATGAAAAGACTTTTCATTGAAATAATTTAAGATTATAATATCTGATTAATAAGGTAGATCTGAATAGACAAGCTAAAAATGAAGGGAAGATTAAAGACATAACTAAGAAAAATTGATTGTTCAAAAATTGTAGAACATTTGAAAATTTGTCATTCCTCATCATTGATGAGAGAACTGTTACTCTGCTCAGAAACTAGTTACTCAACCCAACTCACTTTATTTCCAATGAAGTATTAATTTCTTATTGTATTTTGTAGTTATTAATTCCAACAACAGCGTATGCTGACCAAGCAAGTATTATAGCTCAACAAAATGGGTAAGCTTTTACATTATATTTAAAATATAATCAGTATTTAGATTTTTTTCCTATGTCTATTTAACTATAACTGTGTAGGTGTCACTGGTGGTAGACTGCCAATCTTGAATGGTACCATCCATCCAATACCCAGTGCGTTTGTAAGGATTGAAATGGTGCATTTTGATAACAAATTTTTAATTACAAAATAATTGAATTATTTTAAAATTGAAAAGATTGCAACTACCTCTAGGAAAATTTATCTTAAGTGGTTTTGACTCTGCTGTTAGGTCCTTTTTAGTTTTAATGTTGGTAAATGTTTTTTGCATTTGGCATCCCAACTTTTATTACAAAGCATACTTGATGAAGGTAATTCCAGAAACTTTTAGTCAGAGGCATACCTGATGAAAGTTATTCCAGAAACTTTTAGTCAGAGGCACACCTGATGAATGTAATTCAAAAAACTTTTAGTCAGAGGCATACCTGATGAATGCAATTCAAGAAACTTTTAGTCAGAGGCATACCTGATGAATGTAATTCAAAACACTTTTAGTCAGAGGCATACCTGATGAATGTAATTCCAGACACTTGTCATGTCCACAGAAACAGTTATCATGTGATTATTTTACTGTGTGATGATTTGATGTATATCCAAAGTTACTTGCACTTATTATTATTAATTTCTGTATCTCAATTATTTTATGAATTTCCGTTAGATCACATGTGTTCTCTACACCTTGATTATGTTTTTAATATACATGTATTCACTTCATACACTTTTAATTTGTGTGTTACAGTTTCAATTTTGCATTTTTTAAATCTGATTTCAACTAATTCATGTTTATAATAAGCTTATATTAAAAAATTTCAGACTTGCTGCCCAGCAGTTGCTTAGCCAAGGCCTTCTCCCTAGATACTCCATGGCAACAACTCCCCAAACTACATACCAAGTTCATCAGTCAGCAGGTGCAGCAGGCTGGGTCCATCCTAGTGGCTACATAGTTCAACCACCTATGGCCCATGTAAGCCCATTTTCTTATTATAGTGGCCAGGCACAAGGTTTGATTGATCCGTCAAATTGAAAATAAATTGTGAACTTTTATATGAACTTACTTCATGAACAAATGATTGTTAATATGCTTAGTGGAATATGAGTGGATGATTTGTGGATATTGTGTATAAAGTGTGATCTATTAATGTGAAATACAATCTCAAATTCTTCATGAAAAGTACTTATATGTCTTATATCATAAACATTCTTCAGTTTTTGCATAGAAAAAGAACAATTCTGAAGATGTGAAAATATTTCCTACACAATATGACATGTGCTAAAAAATATTTATAATTAGACCAATTTGATTATGTGTTATTTGGTTTTTTAAAGGTGAATGCCAAAATATGATCCTTGATTTTCTACTTTTTTATATAAAAGACAAAAGAAAAAAGAGAATTTTAGAATTAGAGCAAACATGAAGTTTTTTTTTTAATTGTTCTTTTCAGAATTAGTATATACTTTGTACAAACCAATGAAAAAGTTCAAAAGGAATAGAAAATGAATCATTTATGGCCAAAGAGTTTAATTACGAACAATACTTGATTAAACATTTTTTAAATGTTATGTTTGTTGATACAATTGAAATATATTAATAAAGATACAATTGGATATCAATAAATTTTGAAGAATTTTGTGGCAGTGTTTCACATTAATCTTTAGCACTTTCATTTTAATTTGAATGTAGTATTTTGGGCAGATTTTATCATCATGTACATTTTAGCAGACATTCTTAAGTCATTTTTATTTCAATTTTATTTTTGTGTAGGATAGTTATTTTGGTCAATGACCATCTTCAGAAAACCATGCATGAGTGTACATATTTTTTTATTGTTACTGACGCAATGAATTTGTAACTGAAATTATACTGGCTTATATAATATCATACAGTGTTGGTAAAATTTTGGCAGAACAACGCATTTGAACCATAAACATATTTTAGGCGAAGTTTTGATAATGTGCAAAAGGAACTATGGAACGTATAAAGAATTTAAGGTATATCATAGAAAAAAATGGCAAAAGACGATATTTTTTACAGAAAAATATGCCAAAGAAATTAAAACTGTTATTGTACAGAACATACATTGTTATATAACGTTATGATGGTAATTCAGATCTCCTTGTTGATGTTGTAAACCTAAGATTATCATATCCTGAACTCATTATTTCTTCACTTAGAAAAGTTTGTCATCTTTTGCAGTTTATTTTTATTTACTCTTTTTCTTTGTTGTGAGATCAACTTTAAAAACTTATTTATTGAGTCATATTTATGATTACGTAGCTAATATTATAGAAGTATGCCCAATTATCATATGCCTACAGACCACCTTGGAATGGAACTGTCCCCTTTAATTAATTTTCTTAACTGACTTTAATTTCCTATAAGTCTAGATTTTATTTTTCTGTTTGTTTTCATAGTTTATTTGATTCATCCTCTATTCAAAATGAAAGAAGCTAGACAAGTGAACATTGATAATGAATTATAGCTTTTTTGCATCTAATTTTATTTGCAAATTTAGTTTAAAGACCTAATGCTAGCATCTTGGCTAATATTTGGTAATTCTACTAACGAAAATTGGATAATATATGCTAGCATTGAGTACAGGTCTGATTCTGTTTCAGATTGTTCCGTCATCAACGATGTACACTGGTACCCCATGTATCCAGTCCACGCTTCCCTCTTTATCTGCTCAAATGGGACAGCTACACATTTCCCAAGGCTCGGTAGGCCAATGATCGTCTTGGGCAATGCATTAACATTTAGTTATTGAATCAATCACCTCAAACTTAGAATTTGTGTTGTCCGCTTTTTATGCTGCAAGTAGAATATTAACAATATGTAAATGAAAATAAATTTTTATATTTTTTAGATAAAATTTTTTTTATCAATTTTTTATGAATTAAATGGTTAATTAACCAAGTTTGTTCTGGCTTTTCGCTTAAAAGCATGTTGTTGGAATTTTGAAGGAACTAGTTTCAAAATTTTTTCTTTCTTTTTTCCCTCATTAAAAATTATGGAAAGAATTCCACTTGCAGTTTCTCTACATTTGCTTTTGAATATCTTTTTTTATTAGTGAATATCATTGTGTAACTGTAGAGATCTGTGTTGATAGCTTGGAATGAAACATTCAAAATATTGAAATCAAAATCTGGAATGCCAAAACATGTTATTTTGTGTCCTGCTTGTCCATTGTGAGTGGAACCAAATATTATAAGAAGCATGATATTTTGTTTAAAGACTTTTAGGATTGCAGCATGAATGATTAGACAAATTTCTATACACACATCCAGTTAGTTTCAGTTACAATATAAATTTGACAAAATTGAATTTTTGTTTGTGAAATAATTTTGCTTTTCAGATTTCAAACATCTGTATCATCAAGATCTATGCAAATGTAAATAGTTGTAAATATCATGTGTGTTATTTTTGTCATATGCAAAAAATTAGGAAATTTACAAGATGACGTAGATGGGTAAACTTTTGTGTTTTGTTAAATTCCATTCTTTTACAAGGTAATAATAACTGTAATGGTTTATCTTGGTGTGATCATAGTGTGGAGAAAGTTAGATTTATCTGTTTTCCTCTGGATTTATCTGGTCTTAAAATTGATTTTAATTTTGAGTGTGAAAAAAATGCAGTTAGGAACCAAAACAAAATTATCCAAATCTAATATTCCCCAATTATTATGATTCAGATGACAAAATTCTTAAGAGAACACTTTGTAGTCTTTTTGAATAGAATAAATATTTTATAGATACATATTTCTAATAGATATTAATTTATAAATTTGTTAAGTAATTTTTACGTTTGTTGCAAAAGTATATAAAGTTTAAAAATGGTACTTAATATATTGAATTTTAGCATCTGTAAATTTTTGTTTATATTTTTTTCATCAAAGTGAAAAAATACTCAGGTTTTTTTTAAACTATATAATCTAACATGTTACAAGCATGTATAAACTATTAAATTTGTTTACATGTTGGCTTAGATTTCTATAACCTTGTTAATACTAAGTGGCTGTTGAAATGCATAGTAGAAAGTAATAGGCTATACCAAATTTAATTTGTAATTTATACCAAAATTCTATAAAACCTTGCCCTCATAAGTGATATAACAAGTTAGAAAATTATTTGTGCCGATAATGGTAGGCCAGTTTTTTATAAATTTTTTTTTTGTATCATAAAAAATCCTCACCAAAAGTGCTACCTCCAATGAACAGATCAGTTTTGTGATCGCCCGATATTATTCCTTATATTCACAATGTGTTAATATATAGCAACATATATCCACTTTTTACCAGTAAACTCTAATCCCGTAGTTATATAAAACGGTAGCAATAATCAAATCCAAGCATTTAAAAAGTGGTGCTAAGTAAAACTTTCATCTTGTGTAAACTACTTTGTTCAGCCATAGTGATACTCCTACTAATATGCATCATATTTACTTCAATTAGCCGTAGAAAATCAGGGTAAACTTGAATATTTTCTGATAAACAGTTTCTTTATTACTGTAGTTGACATTGAATATCCTTGTGGAATTATGTTAAAAACAGTTAAAAGAATAAAAAGTCACATAGAATAAATCCTATAATAGTTTTCACAAATAGTAAATGTAGAGAGAGATTCAAATTATGCTGGTGATGTGGTATTACACAAATGAATTTGGTGAATCTACTTATAGTATATATAATTTATATATATACATAAAATGTATAGCAAAAATACTTATTTATTCGGTGCAAATTATTTTAATATAAAAATTATTTAAAGCAAGTATATACGGTTAGCAGAGAAAAGATTTGTCTCTTTAAATCAATAGAAAATCCATTTTTATATGAACATATGATGTTTGAACAAATTTTAAGTTATTTTTTGACATCATGATGTTTTTTGAATATGTATTTGTTTTTCTGAACACTTTAACCTTGACATCTAGTGACCTTTCAGTATAGTGGAATTGTCCTATGTATACTATATTTTATTTCAGTTTTTGTTTGTTTTTGTTGCAGTTTTTCATGGTCTTTCTTTCTTTACCTAACTGATATTTTTTTCAGGTTTTTGATTCTTATTTATTTACATTCTACAAATGTGTAAATAGGTATTTTTGTCAAAATAGCAAAATCAGTAAATCCAAAGTTGTTCCTATTTTAATGTGTTCTTTTAAGATCTCTATGCAGTCGTTTAGATATAACTTTCATGTTATTGTTTTTCTTTAGAAATCCTGTTTATTTGGATGATGAGGTTGAAGATATTTGTTCAAGTTTTGAACATTTTTTTCTCTCAAGAAATGGCATATTCTTTACAACGCTTTGTTATGGACTGCATAAAATCTTAAAGAACGATATCTCATGTTTCAATTCATTGGTGATGGTTTATGTAAATAGTTTTTATTGTGAAGGAAATGGTGTTTTTTTTGAAAGTATGACTGATTTGGTAAAAGACCAGGAATTACATCTAGAGTAAAATGATTTCAAATAGTGCCATTCAGACAAGTTAAACTTAAGAAAAAAGAAAGGAAATCATTTGTATTTAGTCCGATTGTTTTTAAAGGCAATTCAAATGCTATATGACTAGCACACACAAACATGCACACCCACTCATACATGTAAAAGTAAATTAGAATGGTTAAGAATCAGTGTGTGCGAGTACAATTCCAGAACACCATTGCCTTTGCTGTCCTTCTGTAGTGGTAGATCAAATTTCATTAAATCATTAATTATCATATTTTTTATTTTTTATTTTAAATGCTTTATTATTTACTTGACCAAGGAATTTTTCACTTATTTTTACAAATGAAGATTGTTTATTTTTACATCGTACTGCAATGAGATAGGCGTATTTGCAGTTTTATATGTAAGCAAACAACCCTGTTTAATTTGAATTTAACTTTTGCCAAAAAAATGTGTGTTTTTTTGTTTGCTGCATAGTTACTGTATATTAGTTTTATTTTTAAATTAATATTGTATAACAATTGTGTATGGTGATAATTGCTTATTGACTAGGGTTTCAAGATAAGTCAGAAAAGAATATAATGACAAAGAAACCCTACAAGAAGGAGTGGTAATTGAGCTACAATATAGAACATTAAAAAAATATTTACATAAAAATTATCATCAAAGATTCAGATTAAACAGGAGTTGTCTGCTCTTGTTGACATTTTGTTAACAAATGACATTGTTGTCATATTGAATTCATGGAAAATAAAGTCATTTGTCAGAAAATTTGTTTTTATACTACCTGCCTTGTAAATTTGTTCAACAATCTAAGCATTAACATCCTTCATTCATTCTTGGATGTTAGAAACATACAATTAAAAGGATTTTTTAAAAGAGTTTTCAAAAGTAACTTTACTGTGACAAGAGCTAGGAAATGAATAAAAGGAAATGTGGGTTATATGTCAATGAGACAGAAACTCAATGTCACAAATAACCAAAAGACGCATAGAAACATGATTTTGGCTATATATATGGGATGGTTAATTTACCTGATAGAAAAGAAAAGATATGGGGTATCCATCCATGACACAAGACCAATATAAAAAGATGTAAGAATGATATTGAAATCCATTTCCATGGTGCGTACAACAATATTTAAGACAACAAACAAATGTTGATTGCTTAGTTTGAAACATGTGATCGATGAAATGCAAAGAATGGACCTGATATTTTAAGAATGGTAGAAGACTTGGTGTTTTTGAAGAGAAAAAAAAGATGTGTTCACTACAAAGATACTTTTATGGAAGCTGAATGTTAGAGAATATGGATACTGGAGAAATATGATTACTAGATGTCAGGTGAAAACAACAAGTACAGAATAGTGCCTGGTAAATAATGATTGGTGTTGGTTTTATTCCATATATATATATTCATATATCAGTTGAACTATGTACTCTATGCTTTGTAAAATATATATATCCGTTGCAGTAATTATATACTGATGTTTTTTTATTTATGTTTGTAAGCATGGATTGAGCTTTTATTTGCACTGCTTTCGTAGATTCTCAGTTAATTATATATCAATATAAACCAGAAATTATATATTAAATTTGAAATCATCTCATAGACAATGTGTCACGGTCATTTCCTAATTTTTTAATCTTGACCAAGAAAAATTGAATACTGCATTTATTGATATATAATGAAATATTTTTTTTTTTCATAAAATCCAAAACTTGCATACAAACAATAGCAAATGAAAGCTAACTCCGCTGTAAAGATATTTAGATGTAATTTACCAATGCTATGATGTTGATTTCAAACCAAGTGTGTATCACTATCACTAATGCTTACCCAGCACTTGTAAACAACAGATATTGTACACTCTTTGTATTTTTGTAAACTTTACACATTTTATATATACATATTGTACCTCTGTCAGATTTGTGTCAAACTTCATAAAATTTTTAGATATGAAAATGAGTGTGAAATAAAAAAAATAGCTAAAGTCTTCTACCTGTGCAAATCTTTTTGTATATGCAGTTTGACACAATGAATGAAAATTTGTGGAGTTCACAGTAGAACCTGCAGTTGTAATCAAATTAAATTACAATTAGTATATTGTGGAATGAAACATATTTTCTGCTATTATAGATGATAACATTTTCCTATTTAACATTGTATTATACTCAGTATCACAAAAATTGAAGAAGATGCTGCTAACAAATGCAGGATTACAATTTTTTTGTACTTAACATGCTTTTTCTAAGAAGTAATTCTATATTTAAACATATATCATATTAACAGAGAATTCTTTAAAAAACAATCTAGTTTAAGAGGTATGCATCTTCTTTGAAAAGTACCATATCCTTAGCAAACAGATATATTGTCAGTTTTGATTAAAATTTGAAGAAAATTTTAGATAAGGCAGAATTTTTTTGTCTATGCCTTTCCTCCAATTAAAAAATGAAAATGAAAATTGAAGAATAAATGCAGGTCAAATTTTTGATCAAATCACTGACAATTCTGTTAGAATTTAGATTTTGTAACCAAATATAATCCAGTGTGTACATGTATTATATTGGAACATATTGAAATGCATATTATACCAATTTTATTTTCATATGTTATTCTAGCATGTAGAGACAGAATAAATATTGTAAAAGTTTGAGGTGGTTTTCATATTCTATTGTCTTTTTGCTATCATTTGTAAGCATGTATGTATTTCGTAAGCAAGTTTGTATAATATATATAACCAAACTCTGATGAACATAATCTTATTTGCAAATACAGGTATTTTGACTTTTGAAATGCATATCTGCAGTGACTAAAGTTTTTTATCAGCAGGCTACATGAATTTGGTTAATTGTTTCATATTGATCTATAGCAATGTACATTTTCTTAGAAAAAAATCTGAATTTTATATTATTTAATTGAAAAGACTTAATACTTATTGAATTATTTTCCCTTCTTTTTTCAGTACCTTACTGGAAACGCTGCTTACCAATTCCCATATGGTTCTAACTCAGCTGGAGCCGGAGCTTTCTTACAACCTCTACAATTAGACGTGAGTGCACTCAAGGTCTCTAAACTGTTTTATCAGTTAGGCCAATTGTCTATATTTTTTGTTTATTAAGAAAGAATTATTATGAATGATGGGATATCAATTTGACCTTGGTTTTTCTATTCATTAATAGACTAATAGTTAATAGATTAACACAATGCAATTCTTCATTGATTCGGTTGTGTGAAAGTCTTAATTCAGAAATACAGGAACTTTTAAGTATTCAGAAACTGAAAATTTGAGTCCCAGGAATGCTGATTATTGTCTGCTTAAGGTCAAAATTTTGGAAAGCCACAATATGAAATTGAATGTTTTATTTAATTTTATGACCAAATGATAATGCATCTATACTAAAGTTTTAAAATGTTCGATTTTCCAGACAGTTGAATGCTTTGAACTGATTACGTTCTTTAAGATATGAAAAGGTAATACAGTTGGTCAAGGGATTTTAAAATAAAAAAAATGAAAGTCAAAGCAAGGACATAACTTGTCTTTCTACTGAATTCCTTCTTCCAAATACCATTGCTGTATGAACTATGCAAAACAACATGGAAAAATGTGAACGAATTCAAATTTACAATGACAATAGTGATAATTACAAATGTATTACAATGAAAATTTACAAACTAACTATGTATACAATAGAATAGACTTATTGATGTGTTGTAACATAAACTTGTAATCTACAGGAACATGGTTTAACCACAGAGGATGCCTTACAGCAACATTATCAAATCTTTACATCTCAACCTTCAACGTAAGTAGTACAATATTTACCCTCTTTCTCACTTATGAACACTTTTACAACATACTTGACATCAGCATCTTCAACATAGACAGAAATGTATTTACCCTCTAATCTAATCACAAAAACTAAAACAAAAACATAAGCAAGTCTTGAGATTTTAAATTGCATAACACAAACTTTATTACCATAGTATGTTTACATTTAATCTTAATCACAAACAAGAAGACAAAAACATGACCAAGTCTACATTCAGTAACAGAATAAACTTATTTAATAGTTATAGGATAAAGCAATGTGATCTAAAGACCCTTTCTTATATCTGAGAAAGTAGTGTTTAGGGTCAATCAAAACAGCTGTTTCCCAACAACAAACTCTGTTCAAGTCCAAGTCTCGTTATTGTCAAGTAATGGTTAGAAATTCTGCCAACAGCATTGTATGTTTTATTTTCTTTTGTACAGATTCACATCATGATGAACCAAAGTGCCACAAGACAACCAAAAGAACAACAGCAATGTTTACAGCAATGGCTTCCCCTTTATGTTACAACAAAAACATCTTTATTCACAAACGCTACCTCATGAAAATTGTCATCCTTTTTTAAAATCCTTCTGTTTTGCATTGCAGCTACTCAAACATTTTTCATAGATTTACAAGTAGTATTTTTATTTTTGTTTTCTGTTATTGTCTTGCTTATTAAAACCAGCTTAAATGAATCTTCTAGACTTTAAGTCACAATTCAACCATAAAATTTTGTCTCTTCTTTCTTGTAACAACTAGGTGCTAGAATCATTCTTTTTGTTTGAAATGTTAAAAATGCATATTCAAACAGTTGAGAAAATGTTTTTACTGTATAAAGGGACAAAATATTATGAGCGTCTTTTTTGATTTGTAATAAATGTTGTTGGTTTACAAACTAAAATTTAGTAAATGATTGGAACAGTGTGATTTACAGCCTAGAATTCTTGGTATCTATATACCCTATTTGTTATAAACATTGTAGACTGTTGATATTTTTATGCAAATAGAAGTACATTAGATATAGGAAAAAGTAGAGTAGCCATTTAAAAGTGAATAGAAAATGGCTAAATGTCTTTGTGAATAGAACAAATATTAAAAGATACATGTTTCTTATAGTAATATAGTTAAATTGACTTCTAAAGGACCAATGGCGCTATTCATTATGTTTGTTTGTTGAAAAAAGTTCTTCCAGTTTTCTATGTGTCAGTATGATATCAAATTAAAAGTATATAAAGATCAAATACATTTGTCATTTTGTAAATTGTAAATTACATTAAATTTGAAAGTTTGTCCATGAATAATAATTAATATTGAGTTGTAAACAAATTCTGTGTACTTATTTTTTCATTGCTCTTTCAAAATAGAAACAAAAATACTTAGCATAATACCAAAGATCTGTTTTGCTATTTAAAATGTCTTGTTTCTCAGGTTATAGCACTTAAAAAAGGTAACTGTACAATTACTTTTGTACAGAATAAACCTATTTGATTAGGACACCAACTTAAGTTTAAATAATGTTAGTATAGATTGTTTATTTTGGAGAAAATGTTATGTCAAACTAGCAGCTTAAGATTGAATATTAATGCAATATAGTTGAACAACCAACAAGAGACCCATCAAGAAAAAGGAAAAAATGCTTCCACTGGGCATCAACATTAAATAATGGCCTGAGAAGTAAAACATTTTTAGCAGCGATGTGGCTATCCCGGTACAGAACTTAATCAGAAAATTTATATTCTTTCATTGTTTGTACTTAAATGATTCTAAGAAAAATCAAAATCAAGCCTTCTTCATGAATGAATTGTTTTGTTTGAATTATCATAAGTTAATTGCAGGGCATTTAAAAATTTAGAAGTAACCATAATATAAATTTTTTTTTTTTTACTTAAAACTGTTTTTAAAATAGACCTAGTTGTATACCTATGCTCGTGATAATATAAAGGGCATTACCCGTGATATATTTATAAAAAGATGTCAAATTTGAACATTTTACTTTAAAAATTCAACTTTCAGGCTACTTAAAGTAGCTTTACAATGAACAATTAAAAAACTATTAAAGTTCAAGATTTTAATTTATTTTCAAAGCCTTATACATTTTAGTTGCAAAATGCAACAATTATTTGAGTGAACAAAAGGTGTGAAATATTATTAGTGGTGCACATGGTGCAGGAGGCAGATGTAAATAAAAACTGGGAGAATTGAAAAATTGTATATAGTAACAAATTAATAATCATCTTTTTCAAGATCAATTATTGGTTTTTTTTATTATTATTTTATTGCTTTTTAGTTCTTTAATTTGATATTGATGAATTGTTTAAATGTTTGTTATAAATCATATTGTGAATTTTATTATTTTTAATATTTTTAAATATTGTTTAGTTATGTCATTGAAATTGAATTTGATGCATGGTAGTGCATCGTTCATTACAGGTTTTAACCTTGAAGCGTATCTGAATTCAAAGCACTGCTTCCTCATTCACTATCCTTGTCTGCAGTACCTACAGTGTATGTTATGCTGTAAGTTAACCTGACTCTAGAAGCCATATGATCTTCATCTATTTGCCTTATATATCTTTTCTGTCAAGTTACAAACCCAGTCTTCATCTTTAAATCTGCATCTAAATGAAAACCATAGTAGAGGCAATTCTGTATTCTAATTGGATGATTTTCAAAAATTCTTCTCTATTGAAGCATCACATGAAGTCTGACTTTTGGATATTTAGTGTGCATTTATCTTTAATCGGGCAGCAAACTTGGCAGCTGCATACCAGGTAAATAACATGCACAAATCAATCTATGGAAACAAATTCATATTGATTAAAAATTTGAAAATTTGAAATCAAATTATTCTAAAGTTGGATATTTTTGTTGATAAAACTACAGCAATATAGATTTAACTACCACAAATGTTTGGTGTTATAGAGAAAAACTACCTCCGAATTCACATAAAACAAAATAACTCACTGCCTTTATGTTTCAATCAAGATGAACATTTTATTGCTTTGCTTTATCTTCCTTTTCTAATGAACTGGTATTTTTTTTTTTATCTTAAGTGCAACTCTTCTTAAATTGTTAGATGGATTTCCAAGAAGTTTAAAAATATTAATAGGTAATACATCAGTCATATGGCGATAAATCATGAGGCTTTGGTCAGACTTTTTAAAGAGAGAATTGAGTATAACATCAGTCATATGGCGATAAATCATGAGGCTTTGGTCAGACTTTTTAAAGAGAGAATTGAGTATAACATCAGTCATATGGCGATAAATCATGAGGCTTTGGTCAGACTTTTTAAAGAGAGAATTGAGTATAACATCAGTCATATGGCGATAAATCATGAGGCTTTGGTCAGACTTTTTAAAGAGAGAATTGAGTATAACATCAGTCATATGGCGATAAATCATGAGGCTTTGGTCAGACTTTTTAAAGAGAGAATTTAGTATAACATCTTGCAGCAGGAGTATAATTTTGTGGGCCTGCATGCATAACCTACAATTTTATACAAATAGAAGCTTAGTTATGCAGAAATCAGTATGTGGAAGAAAAAAAAATGTTAGAAAATGAACTTCTAAAATTGTACAGTCATTCAGAATTGTTTATCCTATGTTGATTTGTATGCTGTAAAGAAATTTAGTGCTTGGTAGATATGATAGTTTGTAGATAATTGTTTCATCCAGGTCATATTTTGTTTTTTCATGATTATTATATGTTGGTTCACCATTTCAGTCTATCTTAACATATTCTTCAGTGTTGGAGTTTCAAATTATTTTTGTTTATATTAAGAGTTTCACAGTTGAAGTTAAAACCATAACTCTTTGGCTATTACACTTCTGATGAAAAGGATTGTTTTGTTTGCACTCAACACCAATGTATACCAATCCCCCAAATAAAAAAGAAAATTAAAAAAAGAATACAGAATTTTCACTTAGTTCAAATTAAAAAGCAGAAACCTTACATAAAACAATGAGAGTAATATTATTAACTTACGGTTATCAAAAAATTTCATTTTATTTTATCAAGACCTGAAGCTATGGAAATGTTGTAAACCAGAGGCATTTACTCTGTAACAGGTCTAACTTTGGGAGGATTGGTTTGTGTAATAATAAGCAATACAATATTTTTAAGATTCACACTGCAGCATGGTAATGGCAAGCTTTTTCATTGCTCAGGGTAAGGTGGGATGTCCTCACTGTATTGATGATACCTCAGGTGATGGAATACTCAATTAGTCTGTAGGTTTAGTTGCTTCTTATACTTTTGGTGAGGACCTAAGTAAAGAGAAAAAACATCACACCTCATGCTGATAGTGAAATACTTAAGTTTATATTATAGTAGAGCTTTGATTCTCTAAAACACAAATGATCATCAAAATCTGTTCAATATGAAAATAAGAGGATGTATGATTTCCAAATAAGTTTCGTTATTGGATCTATAGCATAGAATTTACCCTGCAAAAAGCTAAAAAAAAAAAAGTGTTCTAGAAATCCAAATGTCTGCTAAATATTATTTTATAGTAATGTACAACCATTAATGTTAGTTAATACTTAAATTAAATTTTATTTATGAAATTCTAACTGAATTATTTTCATTATATACAATGTTTTAAGACAAAATGGTGAACCATTAATCTCATTGTTATTGATATTTTGAAATGTTTATTATTGATGATTACTGGGGAGAGTTTATATGAGTAGGGATTCCTATTTGAATATTTTACATTTTATTATTTGCATATTTGTTTTTATTTTACATAACAATTTATAATTCAATTGTAATTACCTCACAATTTTTTCTTTTGAAAAACGCAATTAATGCCAGGTTATTCATTTTCAGACCTAAATAGAAAATACAGAATCAGTTCTGTTCTTTTTCAATTTCCTCCAAGACAAATTATATGTATGTAAACACTTTTTACTGTTCACCAATTTAAAGAAAGTTTATTTTCTAAATATTTTATACAGCAATATTTTAAATGTAGTCGATTCTACAAAATTTTTTGTCAAAACCATTTATTCCCCATATTGTATTATATTCAATTTTTCTGTGTAATACATCAAAAACTTGAATCATTTTGTAGAAATAAAGTCAGAACTAATTTTTGTATGACTAATAATGGCAGCACTGTCAGTCATATCAATAGCACAAAACTTAATACAGACATTCAAAATTAGAGAAAGAAGTTTTAAGACACTTAGTTTAGGAATCTGCCCCACTTTGTCACATATAATACCACTGTGTGGTACTAAGCATGTGGAAACAGTGTACTTTTGTACAAATATTTTGTTTTCAGTGTGTTTAAAATCATTTGCATGCAAATTAATTCCACTCACTTTTATCTGCCTTTTATTGATTTTCATGTCCGAGATTGTTCATATGCAAAATATTTTTAGTGAAGATATTCATAAGTTTTTATTGGAGTTGTATAAAAGTCATCTTTTTTACAGTGCTTAGTTTAGGTTACATGTAAATAATGCTCTTTCATTTAAATTTTAAAGAATGAATAACATGGAGAGGTTTATTTTAAGTCTTGATAAGTAACTTTGTAGTACTGATTTTTTCAGTAAAAACCATGCAATACATTGTAACATCAAGCTCAATAAATGATTTGGTATACCACTGATAACCTTTTTGTTAAACTTAAATGCACATTTGTCGTTTAACAATTAATCCACCACTCCATGTTTTTCCTTCATCATTGATGCCATGAATGATGGAGACCAAGAATCATTCTTTTTCTGCTTGTTTGATTTATGAAAGATTTTTAAAATCATTCTGAAAAAATATCATCACAATGGAATAAATGACTTCATCTAAAAATGTGTTTTCAAATTATTTGCCAAAAAACACAATATGTATACCTTGGTAATACTTCCTCTTCACACATCATTGTCTATGTATAGACCATTCCCGAAGACGTCTCTGTAAAAGATTGTCATCTCACATTATTGTCTCGCCATTGGGTAATGTCTTGGTAGTTAATACTTAGATATTACTTTTCAGGTACAGCAATGACAGCAGTGTTAACAATTTGCAGATAACTTACATATCCCCACTTTACTCTAGAAAAACAAAAAAATGTACAGAGGTTATTATTGATTAAGTTTTCAGATGGTCATTGTTCACTGGCCACGTTTGCATGCAGCAAGGGTCAGGTCAAGTTTTCAGGATGAGGTCTGTTCCTTAAATGCCAATGAAGTTGGGTCTACACTATTTGATAAAAGGATTGGTTGATATAAGGATTGGTTGCTATAAGTATATACAACTTTTGTCTTGCATATGCCTTTATCTTATTCACACCTTCCAAAGATCTGGATAAGTCTTCAAGTTGAGATTTGTTCTTCATTATCTAAACATGATAGATCAATAATACTTGGTATTTGTTGGAAGGAGTATATTTCCATCCAACATATTTCCTATGACTTTGGCCTCAACATACCAATTAATAACACCAACAATCAATCAACAGACCAAATAAGTTTTCAGAACAATGTCTGTTCCTCAGTAACTACTGGTATACATGATAGGTCAACAACTTGGTATGTGGATTTGTTTCAAGAATTATATACTGTAAACCAACCTATTTTTCGCGCATACTTTATTTCGTGTTATCTTTCTAGCCATCTTCACGGTGATTTATTTTTTCGCGATCTACTTATTTCGTTATCATATAAGAGAAGATCCAAGTTTCATATATTCACGACGATTTAAATCTGCATTATTATTCTACTTGCGAAAATAAATCGCTCGCGAAAATTAGTTGGTTTACAGTATTTTTTGGACATTTCTCATTTTCATTCTCCTGAAGTTGGGTTAATTTTTTGGACTTTATGTTCCTCATAACCATAAATTTTAGGTCAACAATGCTATGACCATTACCTGATTTAAGGACAAGGACTTTTCCTCAATAACTACCGGTATACAGTAAATCAACATATGGCATGTGATTGGTTTGAAGTAGTGACCTTCTATCTGTCAAAATACATTGACCTCATGTCCAGTGATCACTCAAGTTTTTGGATTAGGTATAATAAAAAATGTGGTCCATGCCAGCAACCTAATGAAACAAAGATGGCAATATCTAGGGGTAAACAATAGACAAATTTATGTAGAAAAATATGTTTAGCTCTAAATCACCATGAGTCCAGAAAAGTTGTAAATATATTCAAAAGAGACTATGGAATACGCAATTGTCACTGGGCAAACAACCCCTCAACAGATTCCTTAGTTCAAAGACTCATAACTCCTACAAAAATCAACTGATAAAAATTTCTCATGGATATGCACATCTATATACTATGTCCTTATTACCGGTACCTAAAAAGTTTCATAAAATTCTGTTTTGTGGTTTTAAAGGAGTTGCAATAACAAACTGTTGCAGTAGTATTTTTGGCCAAAATTCTAAGTTCAAAGGAGCATAACTCCTGGAAAAAAAAATGAATCAAAATTTCCTGTTGATATGCACATCTACATAGTATGTCCTTATTATCTACAAAGTTTCATGAAATTCTGTTGTGAGATTTCAGAGGAGTTGCGCTGACAAACCGTCGCAGTAGTACATTTAGGCCAAAATTCGAAGTTCAAAGTGGCCACACTCATAAAAAAAAAATTGAATCATATCCTAGTCTCCTGGATTTTCGTCCTATTTAGAATGCATTGTGACGTCAAAATTTCCATTGAAAAAGCATGCATAGTACGAATTCATATGACGTAGAAAACATATGATCTGACCCTAATTTCCTGTCGATATGCACATCTACATACTATGTCCTTATTATCTACAAAGTTTCATGAAATTCTATTGTGAGATTTCATAGGAGTTGCACTGACAAACTGTTGCAGTAGTATATTTAGGCCAAACTTATAAGTTCAAAGGGCATAACTCCTAGAAAAAAGTTGAATCATAATTTCCTGTAGATAAGCTAATCTACATAGTATGTCCTTATTATATACAAAGTTTCATGATATTATGTTGTGTGGTTTTAGAGGAGTTGCAATGACAAGAACAGGAATGACGGACAGATGGATGGGTCAAAAACACATTATGATTGACCATGGAATCATAATTGGGGATCAATTTTTATACGACCGCAAAAAAAAAATTTTGCGGTCGTATATTGGTATGACGTTGGCGTCGTAGTCGTCGTCCGAAGACACATTGGTTTTCGCACTCTAACTTTAGTTTAAGTGAATGGATCTCTATGAAATTTTACCATAAGGTTCAATACCACAAAAGGAAGGTGGGGATTGATTTTGGGGGTAATTGCCCCAAATGTTTAGGAATAAGGGGCCAAAAATAAGCATTTTTGTAACTTCCAGACATAACTTGTGTGTTAGTGTATGGATCTCTCTGGCATTGTACCACAAGGTTCCATATCACAAAGGGAATGCTGGGATTGATTTTGGGAGTAATTGCCTCCAAATTTTAGGAATTAGGGGCCAAAAAGGGGCAAAAAACAAGCATTTTTCTAGTTTCATGACAATAACTTGTGTGTAAGTGTATGGATCTCTCTGACATAGTACCACAAGGTTCCATATATCAAAGGGAAAGCTGGGTTTGAGTTTGGGGGTAATTGCCATAATCGTTTAGGAATTTGGGACCAAAAAGGGCCAAAAAACAAGCATTTTTCTAGTTTCCACACAATAACTTGTGTTCAAGTGTATGGATCTTTATGAAATTGTACAAGGTTCCATATCACAAAGGGAAAGCTGGAATTGAGTTTGGGGGTAATTGCCCAAAATGTTTAGGAATAAGGGGCCAAAAAGGGGCCAAAAATAAGCATTTTTCTAGTTTCCAGACAATAACTTGTGTTCAAGTATATGGATCTCTCTGAAATTGTACTGGAAGGTACCATACCACAAAGGGAATTGATTTTGGGGGTAATTGCCTCAAAATTTTAGGTTTAGCGGCCATAAAGGGGCAAAAAAACAAGCATTTTTCTAGTTTCAGGACAATAACTTGTGTGTAAGTGTATGGATCTTTATGAAATTTTCCATTTTAAATTGGTTATTTCTGATTTATATATAAAAGCAAATAATAATGATATGGTTTGAATAGGAATATTAAAAATTTTTAAGTTCTTAGACCACATTCATGCTGTGTCAGAAACCTATGCTGTGTCAAATATTTAATTACAATCCAAATTCAGTGCTGTATCAAGCTTGAATGTTGTGTCCATACTTGCCCCAACTGTTCAGGGTTCGACCTCTGCGGTCGTATCGAGCTGCGCCCCAGCAGAGCATTTTATTATGTATTTCATAGGTGTAGGTGAATTATGAACTCAAATGACAAATTTCCAATGCAGAATTTGTCGAAATTAATATTTTTTTTTAAGATGTCTTCCATGGAGTCTACCCATCCCCTTTTATCAGGATCAGTGGAATAACAAAAGGTGCATTAAATTTTTTTTATAAAATTCAGTTCAGAAAAAGAACTTGCCTTTAATACCAGCATAAAAATAACAAAAACAATAATACCATATCAAGGAATTAATACATTTTATAATACTGAAATAACCTCAAAGTACCAGTACTAATCCTGCTGAAAACAAATCTGCCATCCTACTCTGTAATATCTGTGGATGTGTTTCTGAGTAGGTTTCATGCAGCAACAAAATCATAGATGTTAACTTAAACTGCCCAATTATTCAACAATAACAGTATAATTATAACCTTAATCTATGAATCTATCAAACCAAAAAGAAAGAATTACAGGACAATTCCTATTCTTTTTTTGCTCTCTTACTGTTACATGCTGAGTGTGAGATACCACTAATTACTAAATTCCTAGCAGTAAAATAAAAAAAATCCTCAATAAATAAAATACTAAAAGCTTTCTAAATAATTTGATAGTTACAAGCTGGTGTGAGATACCACCTTTTATTAAGTTCCTGCAGGTAGAACAATAAACTGTATAAGAATCTCTAGATTTGTGATGAAATTTAGTAAAAGTATTCACCAACTATGATATATATTTTACGTTAATTAAAATCTGGCATGCCACTGCAAACATTCCTACATCTTTTTGCAAGATTTATCACAAAAAAGGAAAAGTTCTCCACAGTGTTTGTCATTATTATGTTTTATTTGGAGAATTTGGTGTTAATGACACAATTGTTTAAAATTTAATCTGTTTTTAAACTTTTTAGGAGCTTAACATATTCTATAAACACATGTTTATTTATGAAGACTTAATGTTGCCCTCTAGATGGCAATTAGTTTTGTTGTTGGGTTGCTGTTTATGTGTGTTCACGTTTCTCTAAAATTTGATGTCTACAGGTAAATAATTTCTTGTTGGAGAAACGTGATTTTTGACATATGTATACATATAGAGTAATATCACCAATGTACATAGGACAGTTTCACTTAATTATAAAATTAACAATCTCTGCAAGGGTTGACATTTATCTACCCTGTAATACTGACCTTATGTTTTATTCAAAATGTCACCAATTATAGAATGTTCTTACTGTAAATCATTAATGTATAGTATTAAGGCGATTAAGATTAACTGCAATTCCTAAATAAGTTCATCAATTTTATATTTGATTCCAGATACAAATGGATCTCCACTATATTTTCTGCAATTTTTAACTGAATTTTCATCAAGTTGTCTAATATTGATTCCTTATTTTAGTGGTTACCATTTTTCATGGATTGATAAAAACTTGCATTTTTGTGGTTATTTAGTTCATGGTTTTCCCAAAGTCTGTAAACAAGCCTACAAAAAATTTACAATTCTTGTAGTTCATATGCAACGACGAAATCCACAAAAATTGGTTTCCCACAGATAATAATGAATCCTGAGTATTTTAAGTGAC